ATTGTCGTCGCTGTGTTCTGGAACCCTTTGTTCATTTTACTTTACATTTAATTGAATATATGTACAGTGTACCCAGCCGTTTGATACCTGGGGCCACATTCAGTCTTTATTATCTTCTCTCGGCTCAGCTGATTGTAAATTACGACAATTTATCAAAACTCCATGACATTTTATTAAAATGCCACTATTTCCTGTTGCACATGATATATTACTCAATAATTGCCTTCGAAAGATTTAATGACTTGTAATTTTATTAATTATCCAGTTAATATTATATATTTTTTCTGTATTTTTTTTTGTGTGGGACGTTAGAGTTTACAGAAATTCTCAAGTAGCACAAAACACATTCCCCGAGCCGTGCGCCGAGAACCTCGTATTTGATATATGTAATTAGGTTAGTGCAGTGATAGACAATTATTTTAGCGCGAGGCGTCAGAGAACCTCATTAGAAAATCCCCCCAGTTAGAGAAGTGTTAAAGTACTATCGGACATATCAAGATAATTCGGATACGACATTAAAATGAATCTCAGAGACGTATAATTGGCCTGTGTGTTTTGTGGAGTCAATTCATTTGGCGTGCGCGTTCCGGGAACTTATCATTGGCGGGTCTTTCGAAGCGTCCGTCTGATATAGCGAGTTTTGTTAATTGTATGTAAAATGGTCGGCAATTCTTTGCCGATTATCTATGATTCAGCTTGGTCAATTACAACGTTCCTCAAAATGAAATCCCATATATGCCCCTACAGTGAATCGAAGCACGAGTAGGTGTGCTGAACAAATAGTTGTTGAGTTTGTGGATAGAAGACTCACAAGGTCTCTCGCTCTCTCGCCTGTTGCCCGAAATACACTTCGGTGATGCTAATGCGAAATCAGCTCTCGCATACAGAGAGAGCGAGAGAGGACAAGTAAGAAACGGAATAAGGTCCTGAGGAATGTACGCTACACCTCAAATAACGTACATTCCGCAGAAGGAATATCTTAATTTTCTTTCTCTGAGCAGGACTGACGTTTCCCCGGTCTGCACAGAGATTTGAAGCGTGGGTTATGTTCTACGCCCTCTGATGGCCGTCGTCGTCGTCAATATATGTTTTGTGGTTTGTTTGACGACACTGTCAGTAGCTCAGAGCATTTTGGGGTCGTATGGCGGGTTCATTGATCAGTAATAGAGTAGAAAGAACATGGAGGGAGGCGGTCGTGACCTAATTAAGGTAATATCCTGGCATTTTCGTGAAGGGACTGAGGAAAAACATTAATCTACTGTCAAAAAAGTCGGTATTCGTACCCAGATTTTAACCCGGAACCTCTCGAACACGAAGGAGCGGTAATCACTCGCCATCGACTTTGTAGTTACCATGCGTTGGTAATTTGTAAACCCCGAATGGTTTCTCCTGTCTGAAATGTACACTGGGCAGGCTGTAGGTCTACTACTTTACATCTGTAGACTTGTATTCGGAAGGTACCCCGTTTGAGTCTCATGGTGGTTGCTGACTGTCGTGACTGAGATTGTGGTTTTCCTCAGTTTTTTGTAGGTAAGTGTCGGAATAGTGACAGGCAGTGAAAGATACGACCACCTCCTTCCAGATTCTTGCGTGCTCCGTTTTAGTCATTGTATCGTCACTTTTCTCAGAGGGACAAAGAGCTTGAAGATCTCACCTGGAGAAAACCCACAACACAGCAGCAGAAGATTTAGGACCTTTCGGTTTCTTTTATGTTTCTGTTGCTGTGAAAAGAATGATCAAGGTCGAGTTGTAACAAGACGATAGCAGATGGCGCATTTGTAATTATGCCAGTAAGTTTCCGTTGTAACCACTGGAATGTCGTGTCCGGTCACCACGTAGCATATCTGGTACTGACCGCGTAAACTTGTTGTATTTCATCACATTTAGAATGGGTGGGTGTCATTGTTTCACATTGCTTACCCAATGTATTGCTGGATTAACGATGTGCATTTCGAGAGTCGTGATTAATGTTTATAGATGTCTGTTGATGTTTTTATATATTTTTTTAAGGGAGATAATCTACATTTTTCACTATGTTAAAGTGCATGCTTTTATTCGAAACCACTCTACTTCTTGATAAAAGTATCGAAAATTACGTTTGTCTGAAATTGTTCTAAAAATTAGGACTACCATGATTAATCGCTGATAGAAAGTGAACAACACTAATACCAGACCCTGCCTTTAGACACGATTTTGAGCCACGTCCCATCTTTACAGCCTACCCCTTCTTGGTCTTACAACTGCTCGTTTTCCAAGAGGTTTTACCACCAAATTTTTGTATTCCTCGAACTCTCATCCTGGCCACGTGCTCATCCCACCGTGAACTAGGCGACATTTATAAAGCGAAGTGTTTTCCTTATGTAATATCCTAAATTGTTTGCTTACTTCATCTTTTTATGTCCAGATATTTTCCTGGGCTCTTGTTTTCAAACATTTCTAATGCATGTTCGTTCCATCCTCGAAGTAAGAGGCTACGTGTATATGCAGTGTATGCATGTTTACTGTTGTCATTTAATACAGTGACTAGCTTTGTGACTCTTAGCTTGTCAAGAAGGACTTTGTTGTTTGTTCCTAATGCTGTACTTACTTTATCTCAAGACCTGTCTTAGCGGCGTAGTTCCTACCTGAGAAAAAGCTTTTCACAGTTTCCCAAAATTCAGATTTAAAATGCATGTTTATCGACAGTCTACAAATGCAATAGTTCGGTGTTTGGATGTTACTAGAAACTAGCACGCCAGTAAATCAATTGTGATAAAAATCTTAATTTAAAAGTTGTAACAAAAGTCAGAAATTTAGTCTTGTCTTGAGAATCAGCAACAATAATTTTTTTAAAAATAATTATTAACTTATTTTCAGAAAGGGTTTTGCTCTTTAAAATAAGGTCCTGCACGACAAATCTTTGTCGTATTTTGTCGTAACGTGAGATCGTATTAACCTATTAAACATTGTAGTCACTTGATGACCATAATAATCTGTATTTTATGAAACCCTTGTTTTGGTTGCGTTTACTGGGCCCCAAAATTTCTTAGTAATGCCGCTAGGTGACGAAATACGTGTTACGAGTGCTGCTGTCAAGGCAGCTTTTAGTACGACTTACTTGGGTAACGAAAACGTTGAAATAACGCAGTGCGTGGCCCGGCTGGTGTTTTCCATTGTTCTGCTTTGGAAAGGAGGGAATGAGATAAAGGTGCGAAAGGGAAGAGGTAAGGGATAATAGCGCGAAAGAAATCATTCGGGCCTTTACCGCAGTAAGGCGATAACGTATAGTTTAAAATTACGCTAGTAGAACGTGTCTGTGAAATGCAGAGAAGCTTGGGTAGGTTGCCTTGACATTAAACATCTGTTTAGCTGAGTGGCAGCTGGTCCCGTGGGCAATGCAGGAAGGGTGGATGTTTCTTGTGCGTAACGCAGTTACAGAAAGCGAAATTTCTCCGTGATACGGCGTATTGCTCAGCTGCTCAAGAAATTGCCTGCGTTTCTGGTTCCCGAAGAGAAATCCCGCCTTTGAACCCTGTGAATGTAGTCAACATCTTACAATCCATTTCTCCTAGATCCATTTTAATATTATACTCAAGTCTACACCTTTATCAACGAAGTGGTCTTCGCCCGTCAGGTTTCCCAACCAAAAATGTATATGCACTTATTGTTCTGTGTGCATCTTCCTTGATTTGATCACACTGATAGTGTTAGACAAAGATTGTAAGTTAACAAGTTTGCTCTTAATGTTATCATCAACAACAGGAATAAAATATTACGCTTTCTGCATTTGAGGACGTTTCAAGTCTCTGCTTCGGACGGTCGTCTAATTCACATATTTGTTTCGTCATCCCGTAGTCCGATATTCCTAAATTATTTATTTGTTGTTTATTTAACGACGCTGTCAAGGCTACCACGATTATTTTCGTGGTAGCCTGTAACCGGGTCAGAATTGTAAAGCGTGGCCTTCCCAATACGAAGCTCGAAATTCGCGACTTCTGACGGCATCATTTGAAATTTTTCCGTCCAGTTTTGGCGGTGTTGTTTTGTGTATTTTCAGTAAAATATTTCTAATCTTGTTTTATCTGCATTTCGTTTACGGCCGTCTCATGTATCCTACCCGAGAAATTTCATTTCACCAGTTTGTGTATTATTGTGACATCATGTGGTCATCGTGTGTGCCTCACTTCGATAAGACTGGTACTGTGTTCTTCTGTAATCCTTTGTCTCGCGCGTCCTCGGCACTTTGTTCTCAGACGTGATAGACCCGCTGTAACGGAAGCGTTTTCATAAGGACAGGTGCAGGATTATAGTACATTCGGTGAATCGGTTAGAAAGTGTTCTGTGTTGCACATATGCAGTAACCTAGCTATAATGACACTGGCCAAAGTACCCTTCCTTCTTTCGGGTCTTAAACTGTGCTGGATAATTAAATTGCTTGTATCACACGTATTTATAAAATTAGTCGTAAGTAGAGAATGCTTGCCTACTATCCATTTCGGGATATTTTGTCCGGTGGCTTCCAGTTTAAAAACAAAGATTATTTGTGCCTGATAGAGAAGAAATAACAGTAGGCTGGAGTTAAGTTCGTGCTGAGTAGTTTCATAATTTATTATTTTTACGAAGTATTATTGTAATGATAAAGTCAAGGTAATGTGGGCGAGATACGTAGCGCTTAAAATGCATGCAGAGTTTAAGTCGGAAACCTGACGGGGGAAGACGAGACATAATATTGAAATGGACATTGAGGTTTGCGGTCATGTACCGGACTGACTCCTCAGGATAGAGGGACCAGTGGCGGATGCCTGTGAACACGATTAGAATCTGCGGGTTGCATAGAAGACGGGGAATTTCTCGACTAGCTGAGCGACAAGTAGCTTCTCTAGAAGAATTTTGCCCTATATAGATAGGTGGTTTTATTTAACTGTGTATAGTATTTTCCAAGCATTAAGTACTTTATGAGTAGTGTGCATGTATTTCTAAAATCTCCCTTTGTAACACTGTTTTTGTATTTTTTGTTGCAGAACGGAGCAGCCAGGCTCAGTCCCAGATTCCGACGTAAGTACTTAAAATAGATTTGGTTTTTCGTTGTGAAGCGTATCAGATTATTTTTGTGCATTATTTGCACTAAGAGCATGAAATAACATAACGGAAGGTCCAACTGCATGTTTTGTTTTGGAAACTACTCAACGTGGTTTGAATTAAATTTTGTATGCAGTGGTCGACACAATGAAGTAATACGTGAACCTGTGCAGTCCCAAAGTGAGTTTGCAGGTTTTTCGTACAAGCCGTCCAGTACCATTTTTGAAGGAAATTCGTACAGTACTTTCGAAAATGAAACACTTTGCAGAGGACTGCTGAAAATGAACGCGTGATACGTGTGTGTATGTTTAACCCTTTCTCCGTTTCGTGAATATTTTTTAACTGCGAGCCGAAGTATGCAGTATGTCTCGACTTTTCATGTATTTTGTCAGCAGCGTACTGCTCGTTTCGAAAACGTATCGCTCGCCATGTGCATTTCAAACCATTATATAGTGAATAGCTTAATATAATCATCTGAGTCTTTGTGAACAGAACTACAGATTCAGTGCATAGCCGATCAAATGAAATTGGTCAGGAACATGAAGGGGGAGATCGGGGGTCTGTTAATGAAATTAAACGTTATTTTCTGACGGATGGGAATTGGGCCGAAGGGGGGTTGCGAGCCTGCCTTCAAAGGGTGCCTTTTGTAGTCACTAATTTGGTTCTTTGCGGATAGTTTGCTTGCTAAATAGATGTGTTTATTTGGGACTCATGCAGTTAACTGCTGATGGTTATCTGCCTGAAGGCCTGATTGCGTGTAGGTGGCTCAGCTGCTGTCGAAGTATTCGGCGATGTGTCCTAACAGAACAGTGTCCAGTAAGGTGTTTGGTTTAAACAGAGATAGGTTAATTAAGGATTGGAGAAGTTACAGAACGAGGAACTTCATAATACCTATTATCCATTCAGTACTTCCAGTGTCATTAAATCAAGGATATGAAGCACGCGGAAACTTTAAAGGGGGAGAACCACATGACTGACCATGTTATTAGTAACGACACCAGATGGCAGAATGTTCTACTTTACAAGTTCTGTTATCATTACGCAGGTTTCGGAGGTACTTCTGACATTGTGAGAAGAACTAAACTGTTGTTAATGCTGATTGCCTAGTTTTCATTGTTCCAAGTTGAAAGGAATACGGGAAGAAAGATAAAGAGATAGTTACAAACGGGAAAAGAAGAAAGGGAATACGGGATGAAAGTGCGAAAGAAATCATTTCTCCGTTGCATATAAACGGGTGTTTTCCGCTAGTTCCATGTGTAAGCCAAGTGATCATACAGAGGTATGAATTCTTACGTAAAAGTTAAGGAAAGAATTTTATTGTGACAACGTTTAAGTGGCGACTTCCTGTAATATGATACGGAGAAGAGCAGTAGTGTTCATTTGGAGGACTGGGCTGTTATTGTGTGTGTTTCTGTGCGTGCGCGCCCGAGTTCCTAACGTCGCCCCTTCCAGTCGAGCTAAGGGAACAAGGGTTACCTCAGAAATCGATACAAACTGCAGATCTTCACTTGGTCGGCACCTGCACACGATCCATATGTTACATTTTAGATTCATTGTACTCTGTCGCTTATTTTATAACTTCGTTCTGACACACTTCCTTTTCTGTTTATCAGTTTCTGTAGGTCTGTGTTTATTTTTCTTGGAGTTTTATCTGCGTTATTTGCATGTACTCACGTTACCCAATAGTGTTATGATGGCCAGTTATATCACACAGGGCTGTGTCTGTACTCAGGCGGCTAAGCGATGACTTTTTAACGCAGAGATCCGGGCTCAGTTCCTGGTTATTTCAAGTGAGTTTCGTGGTGGACGAAATGGCACCGGAACAGGGTTTTTTTTTTGTATTATCCCACTAATCATCATTCCTCCATTTCTTCAGATTTGTGTCGCCCCTCCTCTCCCCATAATGTCTGCGATAGCCCAGACCAAAGAACAAATTATCGTATCTTTTCTTCGAAATTTGAGGATTTATCTTTGGTAGCAGAGATTGAGGGAGGGGGGCAAACACATGTTGCATGCAAGGGGGAAGTAATGCCTCAGAGCAGGATCGTGGTTGAGCAGTTACCATCACTCGTGCGTCGTGTTTGAGATGCCCGGTCTTATCCTGTTGTCTTGATGTCGCGACTAAGGTTTTCCCTAGTCCATCAAAGCAAATTTCGGAATAATATCTTACAGACAGGCTACAACCGATTCCTTTGTCACCCAACATAGTTTATTATTCATAAACCACACTGCCATTCGACACTACATACTCCAGCATTTAATATACGTCGTTAAGTAAATCAATAGGAAGCCAGTCGAGACCAGTGTCCAGATACGAAATTTCATAAACGGCTTTTAGCATTAGGGCTCTGTTACGAAACTGATGGTTGAATGACGTTAAACTATTGCAAGGCCCATCTGTTCGTTGTAATACCAGGAATCTCTCATGGGTTAGACTACTCTATAGAATATGTTGGTTAAATCCTGTGAAAGATGTATTTGAGAACAAATAGAGGTGTAATATTTGAATATATTTTAAGAAAAAGTATATGAATGGGATGTAACAGGCTTGGTATAGGACGTAATGTCGTTTGTAGTGAATTTAATAAACTTCGACTTCTGTAAAAAAAACAGGGAATTTACGAAAATGTGAATGCTGTCTAGTCTTGATTGAATGTCCAGACTTACATTAGACTTTTCTTGCGTTTGGTGTTTCTTGTTACCACTTCTTCCGACATACATTGCCTGATCTCAGCCGAGACACTTGGGGTTGGTTCACTTCGTGTTAACCTTTTCCTAAGCGCGGCTTGGAACAAGTTTCAAGAGCGTAACACCTTCTGTTCTGTCAGTTGGACGTAGTATTTTTTCGCGATTGTAATTACATTCAGTCGCAGTTAAGGGAGATGAGATGGACTTGACATGTAGCACGCATGATAAAGATGGAAAATGCATTCGAAATTATATTAAGAGAACGTGAAAGAAATATTTTTTTTGCACTTGTAGTTGGGGTATAATATTAAAGTTGTGTTAAAAGTAGGTCGTAGAGGGTACTTATTTGACTCGGGGTAGGGACCATTGGCATTTTCGTATTGTTGGTTTGTAATTACATGTCTAAATCCAATTTACTTTCGAATTTTTTTATAAGAAATTGATTTTTAGTGTAGTAAAACACATTTTATCATCCATATTTATCATTCACGGACACAAATACGTTGAAAGTCTTTTTGAATCGTGTATAATCGTGTCATATTTGTACAGATGTTTTTTTTCATTCATATGTTGTGGGTAACCTTTCACAGAATAAAACCCCTCTATGATCTGATTTCCCTTTGAGTATATTTAGCAACACATGAATGAATATTTAAATGCAACAGGTAAAACGTTTCAGCATACAATGAGCAACATATAAGGCTACAAGGACATTCAGTACTACCAACGTTAGCAAAAAGTTCCTACTTACGTTTATCAGCTCGCTTTACACAAACAGGTGATGACAGATTCAGTATAACATTTTTGCTGTGATGAAAAGCTCTCCAGATGCTGTTTTATATCCCCCTAGAAATTCAAGCGCCCGCTGTTGATATTCGTACAAGATGAAGGTGAATCTGTCGCTGATCTTAATTGTATGTCTCATTTATAACGACTCCCATTGGTTGAGAACATTTGATCCTGTTTCATCTTTGGTTTTAATGACTCTACTAGCTCGGCAAATGAAATAATCTTAAGTTTGAGTCTCGCTTAATGACACTTTGACAGTCTTGATATTAAACTTAAACATGTTAACAATTAATTTTGTCGTGTTGGCTAATTGTATTTTAAGGTCGTGTTCAGTTTTGGTGCAACGTAATATAGCACGTAATTATATAAAGGTATTGAACCCGCTCAGAATCTGGTACGATTATAGGTTTTGTTATTATTGGTAATGAACTTTATAGAGTTAGTGTAACGAGGAAGAAATTCGAAATTCTGCCTTTGTCGCATAGATAAACTGAGATGTCTAATCGATAGAAGGGGATCTGTCCCAAGATTTCAGAAATAATTTTTAGAGTTAGTGTAATGAAATTTCGAGAGACTGAATTCTGAAGCTTGTGTTTTTATTACCTGTGTCTATCAAGAAACACCTCGTGGCTTGGACTGCAGAATGCATCTATTATTAGCTTGTCTACAGTTGTGTACACAACTGTTACTCTGCCGACTGTTGCAGAGAGAGAGAGAGATGTTATTTTGCTCAGCAGATTCTGCTACTGTTTCCTATTGTGTGTCTTTCCTGTCCTTCTCTAACTCATCGGTAGTGGACTTCTTTTTTACATTGCAGTAGTTGGCATAGGTTGCATTTACAAAGGAACGTAATATTCACAAAAGCGATGATCAAGGTGAGACTTCAGAAGTTAAGGAGACTGGTAGACAGAAAGCTAGGTAACTAATAGATACACACAGACTGGCTGACTGACTGGTTAATACGCAGATGGATTTATTGATGGATTTTTATAAATTATGATTTTAATTTATTAACCAGCACAGAATATTTACAGTGTTTGTTTTAGGGATGTTACGTGCTGTTATATAGACAGACAGAAATCTTTTTTTTTCTCTCTCTTTCTCGTGGTTTCCTGCATGTCTGGCTGCAGATGCTTCTCTTTGTCACACTGCAACCAGACCATCTGTTTCCCCCAAGTAAGGGTTACCTGTATCTGTCATCTAAGTCAGTGGTATTCAACCTTTTTTGTTCGCGTACCCCCAGATATAATTTCTCTTCAACTTTGTACCCCCAAAGTTGTTGGTGTATAATTCAAGTTATACATAGTATATAATCTACATCTAAAATAAATTAAATAAATTACATTACTGATTATTCAGTGTTTATCATAAAATAATATATATTTTTTTAAAATTTCACGTACCCCCTAAGATGTCTTCGCGTACCCCCGGATATAATTTCTCTTCAACTTTGTACCCCCAAAGTTGTTGGTGTATAATTCAAGTTATACATAGTATATAATCTACATCTAAAATAAATTAAATAAATTACATTACTGATTATTCAGTGTTTTTTATAAAAAAAATTTTTTTTTTAAATTTCACGTACCCCCGGGGGGGTTTTTCATTCATACTACTCCGAGTTCTTTCCTGATGTCGTCATCGAGGTACTTAAGCTTAACACCGAAATCGTTTAATGCTGTTCGTGAAACGTTTAGCAATAAGTATACTGACTCGGAAGTGCGAGATAAAAGAACTTTTCGCCGATTGGTAACAGCATTTCGGGACACGGGAAGTGTTTGTTACGAAAGCTCACATCGAACGACAAAACAGCTGAAATTACATCCTTACCGATTTCAAACACTGCAACAGCCATTGGTTTTGTCGTTTTGCGCGTGAAGTGGTTCATGTGTAGTAAGGCTAAGAGGGGTTTGTGTTTAAAATCGAACGTTCTCATAAGATCTGTGTGTGCTGCGTGGAAAATCGCCTTAGTTTGTGCTTAAGTTTCTTGTGGTAAGAGTCAGCAGGGAATTGGTACAATTCCCACATCAGGGCTTTGCGGGGTGGAGCACATTGTATGTGGGGGAAGACCCGCGGCCAGAGTGGTGTTTGTGATGACGTAGTCGTGACGTGACTACACCCCCTTATGCGCCATATGATACAACAGACTATGAATACAGACAATAGATGAACCCTCGTTCTTCCCCTAAACTTTCCAAGAGTTTTTTTTTAGCAATTTGTCTCGGCACAATGTTATATTAGACCGTAATTATTCTTCCTGTGACAAGTCCCAGTATCAGTGCTGTCAGACAAAATCCAGTGCGATATTTGCTAGGGGGGAGAACATTTAATAGATTGGCATGTGCTGAGGCGTTTGTCCTTTGTTGATAGCCATCCCAGTGTCATGACTAATGTATGGGACTTTGAAACTGCCCCTGTTTCGAATTATGGCCCTATTATGAACCTGCGTATGACCCATTCGCAAATGTTTTGTCATTGTGTCTGTGACAAAAGAAAAACTCATAATGTGACGAAGCTGCACTTTGGGCCGTCAGTCTACCGGTGGGTTTAACGATTACACTATTGTCTAATTTTAATCTCAGTTTGATTTTCCAAATATTAGTTTGTCAGTTTTCAAGGACTTGTCCCTCTGATCATGTTTTATTCTGAAACAGTGAAACCTAATGAATTCAGTATGATTTCTGGGACACCCCCACGTGTACAGGGCGCACACACAAAGATGCAGGTATACGTGCTTAACCCGAACGGGATTTATACACGCCGCCACAGTGTGTCCTGGACTCTGGTTATCCCGAGGGGAATTGTTATGTACCGAAGTAATAGGCTGTTGTTTATTTCTCGAAACGCGACAAAAATTATTCTTCTGATGTCACATTTTCTTGTTTTCACTTGAAAACCAGACAAGTGCAGCTGCCTGAGTGACGCGTTGTGAATACAATTAATCTTTCAAATGGTACAGAGGTTCTTAACCATTTCCAGGCCTGTGACCACATTTGTCCTTTATTAGAGACTCGCGGGGTAAAATAGTTATAAATTAGGACATTTGATTTAAAAAAAACATAGCAAGTTATCAGAATGATAGCCCACTAAATTATACTAAACAGGTTCGTGCATTGCTGTTTCAGTGTAAGGTTTTTATTCGTGTTGTTGGTATTCGCAGGCATCTCGCTAAGTATTCATCAGACTTGTCCGAGTTCTTGATTTGTTTTCGCCATGTGGTTGAGCATTGTTCATAGCGATAGTCATTCAGATATTGACATTAAGGCAAGACGTATTTTCTGACATCGAGTAGCTATTTTTCATCATACACGATGACACGATGTTACAAAAGAATGTTCGTTCGCCTCGTGTTGAGGACCCCCTGACATACTTCCTGGTTATCAGTAGAGGAATGATTTCGGCTTCAGGTCATTATTCCACAGGAAGTCTCACATTCGATTGTTTTCGACTTCCTTTGGCTTTGAAAATAACCAGCCTTTGCTCAGGTAGTCACGTAGTCCACCCTCCACCGCAAGGAATGTATGTCTCTTTGAAATACGTCCCTATAAATCACGTTGCTTGCCATGAGCTTAATGTTTTTGTAGTGTATCATTTGCACTAGGTCACATTCCGTCAAGTGAAGGTGTAGTATGTTTTAGTAATATACGTTGGTAGTGTAGAAGGCGTGTTTGAATTCAACGGGGTAGTGTTTATTTAAACTCTTCCCCCCTTTCTTTCCTTTATGTATTTCGTGTCTTTTTAGAAGTTCTAAAAGCTTTCTAATGGTAGCAGCATTTGTGAATTCTGCCATCTGGCGTCTTTGCTCAGAATTTGGCCAGTCATACATATCACGCACATGCACGCGTATTTACAAACAGCATCGTGTACACGTTTTCACACAGCGTGTACAAAGTGAACGGAAAAAAATCGAGTTATTTTATTTTCTAAGCTGTTAAACGGAGTTTCATTAAACTCTGTGGCTGGGATCGTCTCTAAAATCTGTTGCTCGAATTTAATTTTGGTGGGTAGTGGAAGCATTTCAGTGTAACTTCTACTTAACACCTTTAATATCGATGAATGTCTTAATAGAAAAATATGTATTTACATACGGTATTATAAAAAAGTAGACCTGCGTAAATTTATACACTTACAGTGAAGGAAAAATATTGCACTCAGTTAAAATAAGTAAGCTGATTCGGACATAAGGTAAGGAAACTTGTGAAGTTCAAACTGAACTTAACATACAAAAAATGTTACATAAGACAAAATACAGATCGCATGAAGATATAAAACTTTTGTTATAAATAAATTTCGATGTGGTGTGTATTTAACGAAGAAGAAATGAAAGGTATTTTTGACTGCGTATTGTTCCTGTTAGGACGGAATTCGTCTCGATGTGAACCAGTTACGAACTCTTGGCTTAATGGACCCAGGGGTAATGAAAGGTGGGGGATTTCTCGAATTGCTAAGAATGTCTGCTTCTCAAGGACTCTTTTCTACTGAGTTTGTTAGACCTATCGCGACCAACTTTCCATTATTGTTTCCAATACAAAGATTTTGTTCTTGTTGCAGGAACGTAGTGACAGATGCTCTTGACGACCTGCTTGTATCAGATGACAGTGATGAAGACAAGGTGAGTTTCGTATCTGACATCATATAGGCCCTTTTGACGACATAACGTAATATTTCTGTGGCGTTAAGAAAATAGGGTACATTTGACCTCTGCTTTTTATGTAGCTTACTACTTTACGAATGCGAATTGAGAAATGAAGGTGTAATTGTATGCAATCTTAACCCTTTGAAGCCGAAGATCGTCTGAATATTATTTATGAATTCAGTCCGTACCGCGAAGAAAACACTACACCTCACCATTACGAAAATCAGCTGGTTAACCCTTTGAAGACGAAGCTCGTCTTCATAATATTTACGAATCCAGACCGTACCCAGAAGAAAACACCGGTTGCAAAATCTCATGGATACCCGAATGAATTTTAGAGATATTTGGTTACGATCTTCAGAAGTAAACATAAAAATCCAGGATAAAATTCAATGGAGCGAATTTATTCTTCATTCATTCTTTCTTTCATTCATTTCCACTCGAAGGATTGGATCATTGGCCCATTCCAGGACAATTGCTCAAGGCAACTTGTCCTATTAGTCTTGAAGTGCATTTTGAGTAGTGATTAAAAAGCCCACTGCCTCAGCACAATTTCTGCTCAATCCTGATTTGTCTGCGAGGGCCATCTAGTAGAGAATCTATGACATGGGACCGACGACTGTACTTCCGGCACTTGGTGGTAGGTAAGTGGTCAGATTCACGGCTGAACGGCGAGCATGTGAACGTCCATGTGTAACCCACTCTAGTTATTAATGTAAGATCAGTCTGATTTGGTGTTCCCGAAACAAGTACTAGTACTCTTCTATCGCCGCCCCATCATCAGGTGCTCTGTAGCTCTGACCAAGCAGTACGTTATCATACCCGCGGTCTTTGACCTGGCGATTAGCTGGTCTTTTACAGAATAGAAACAATACGTTGGAACAAAAGAATGTTTACTAAATCTGTGCATTTTATACAGCACAGCAAAACATGCTACACGGTTCGTTGCCATGACAACACGAAATAGTTTAATTTACCAGCTTTTGTGAGTCTTATCCCATCGTTTATCTTATTAAAGATCAGGGCGACGTTAACATTGAAGTGAGTGGTCTTACACCTCCGTAGGTGGCATCGCTTACAGCCGGGAAACTAATATTGAATCTTATATAAAGATTGCAAGTTATTTTGACTGTTCGTTAAGTGGGTTTATGACGTTGTATGTATGTACGTATCTGTTGAATCTACAAACAGAAAGAGTGGATCGTTTGTCTTTTACAAGGAGGACTAAGCTAATGTATGTTTTCAGGAGGTGCTTAACTCCGAGGCCAGGACCAATGGATCATCGGACAAAATGGACGAGTCGTAAGTCAATCCAAGCTATTTAATGCATGCTTGCACGCGAGACACTCGTGTGCGCAAAAAAAATTAGCCGCCAATGTTTGCCCGCGAAGCGAAATTTGCGCAGGCGCTGATAACGTCACACGGCGTTATGTAGCTTGTGTACGTATTATTTTAATCTCGTCGTTATGTCCGTGTGTGGGGGGCATTTGAAGTTTAATATTATGCTGTGCTGAATCTGTAAAGTATTGTCTTTATAATCTCCAAAGTTGGGCAGGCCTAACGTCTTGTTCTGTGTTGGAAAATGGAAACATTCTACGAGGCGCGTCCACAAAGTAAGTTTCCCACTCGTCCCACAGCTAGCAAACCTTATATTGCGCGAAGCGACTGTGCGTACGTGATAGAGCAATGACGTAGCATGGCGCATGCACTAACGGCACTTCCCGCGTTCTCACAGTAGCATCGTTGCAGCTGTTGAAGATGGAGGTTCTTATTCCAGCTCCCGCCGACTGTGAAGTGCGGTCAGTGATAACGCTAGGCCGCACACGGCTCGACGGACAGCAAGTCTCCTGCAGAAGTTCAGCTGGGAGGTGTTTAATCATCCACCCTACAGCCCGGACCTCGCTCCCAGTGATTTCCATCTTTTCCTACACCTCAAGAAATTCCTGTCCGGTCAGCGTCAGCGTTTTGAGAATGACAGAGAGGCGGAGATGGCTGTCACACAGTGGTTCCAATCCCAGGCGGCAGACTTCTACGACACAGGTATTCAAAAGTTGGTCCCACGGTATGACAAATGTCTCAATTCCGGTAGCGAATATGTTGAAAAATAGCTGGACACTTGCTGCATCTGTTGCAATAAATATTTCCATGAAATTGTGTTTTGGTTCTGTAAA